TTTTGGGGGGGGGGAGGGGGGAGACACCTGGGTGGCTCATTGGGCTAAGCGTCTGCCTTCTGCTCAGGTCATGATCCCAGGACCCTGGGATAGTCCCACATGGGGTTTCTTGCTCAACAGGGAAGCCTGCTTCTCCCTCTGCCTGCCACTCCCCGCTGCTTGTGCTCGCACTCTCTCTGACAAATAAAATCTTAAAAGAAGAAAAACCTTTTTTTAATCTATTTCTTTAACCCAACAAATCCTACTTCTGTAGATGCAGTCTGAGGAAATAATCAGATATCAACAAAGACTTGTACACAGGTGTCAAACCCATTATTATTTCTAATGATAAAAGAGAAACTTATTTTCCAACAGGGCAAAAACTAAAATAATAATATAAAATGTGATAGTCTTAATGTTTTTGAAGGCTAATTTATCACAAGAAAATGCTAATATAACATCACATTTAAAAAGCAGAACATAAAAGATTTATCATACTATGCTCATAATTTTAAAATATATTTACTTCAGGGTGCCTGGGTGGCTCAGTTGGTTAAGCGACTGCCTTCAGCTGAGGTCATGATCCTGGAGTCCCGGGATCGAGTCCCGCGTCGGGCTCCCTGCTCAGCGGACAGTCTGCTTCTCCCTCTGACCCTCCCCCCTCTCATGTGCTCTCTCTTTCTCAAATGAACAAATAAAATCTTTTAAAAATAAATAAATAAAATATATTTACTTCATAGCTATATAAATGTATAGACAATACAAAGAACAAAGCAGACAAAATCTCTGCCCCCTGTTTCCAATTATACATCAAAAGAATTTGTAAAAGAAATGAAACTGGTGAACATGCTGTTTTTCAATCTGCCTGTTTGATCCTTAATATCTAGGCATCTACCTGGCTTACAGCAGCTCTCATTAGTATCTGCAAATGAATACACCAAATTGTTAGCAGTGAGTTCTCTGGGATATGAGTACAGGTGACTTTCCCTTCTTTTTTATTTCCTGAAATTTTTCCAAATCATTTCTCTAAATTTTTATCTTATTTGGACAAACTCAGAAATCTTGAATCCATTTATGGTATCTTTGACAAAGAGTTTTAAATGCAAAACTCAGCAAATAAATTTTCACTGGCTATGCCAAAATGTAAACAGTAATCTCTGAGTGATGAGATTGTGATTTTTAAATTTCCTTCTTCAGGCTTTTCTGTAATTTCAACATACTTTGTAATGTGAACAAAAAAAAAA